GTAGGCACATCCTCGACATATTAAAATATGTCAAAAAATGTAAACCTTTTTAGAGCATTAAGTAATCTATAATTGAAATTTTACTTCATTATCATAAGCAAGGCACACACTTCAATTCATCTTTTCAGAGATACATGTATATAGCAATTGCTTGAGGATGATTTTAGATGGTCTATTATACATATACAAGAAACAGTTTAATAATACTGAAGTGAGCTCGATAAGTAAATCAATGTAATTAACGAAATAAAAATTAATAGTATCATTTAAATATTTAAATACACCGTTTATACTACATTCGCATCGGTACTGTACTTGCGTTATAACAGTCGGCGTAGGAATACAAGATAGCGTATGACATCACTAGTCCCGTTTACCCATATTCTGGACCGGGCACGCCCCAACCTCCCCGTTATATATTACTGCGAAAACTTAAGAAACAATAAGTTACATAAAATAAATGAGTCTTGCATATTCCAGAATGAGAACAAATGAGCAAAATCATTGACGATAGAAAATCATTAAAAAGTCCATGTACCAAAGCTACTTGTATCCTTTTTTTATTATTATAGTGCCAACTATTATTCAGCATAAGAATTTTCATTCAAAAACCATTTATCCTATCTTTTCTTATCATGATTTAATTGTAAAAGTAAACGTCATAATTATACACTGTATAAAATAAAATATGTAAAGAAGAAAACGAAGAAAAAAAAATATATACATATATACTATATACATTATATAAAATAAAGTATTGTTCGTAACGCTACATATATTTCCTTTTAAGATCTTTATCGATTCTTATTTGAGGAAAATAAAATTGCGAATTATATGTTTAAGCGTATTTGTGTTTGTGTGTGTTATACAATTAAAAGTAATCTTAAAAATAGATCATAGCGAAAGGAAGGCAAATGGAAAATGTGTACAATTATACATATACATGACATCCGCAGAAATACATTGCAGTATACATTTTTTACATCGTTTAGTATAAATGATTTTTATTTATTTATCTTTTTATCCTTTACGATCTTGACATGAATAATGTACAATGTCGCCGTTTGGGAACCTAGCAAATGCACTGCAAAATAAATTATATTATTATACGTGTGTCTATTAATTGCACAGTAAAAGCAATTGGTAGAAACACATAAGTACAAACCTCTGATTGCTAAATCTCTTCTTACACACTGGACATATATTAAACTCTGTCATCAGAACACTCTGTGATTCGTAATGCATACGTTGCTCTTGCACTTGCAAATGTTCTGCATAAAGTAATCCTTTCAACATTTGCATCTTCCTCCTGGCATTCAACTTCTCCTGCAAACTGACTTCTAAGAAACATTTTATTCTACCTATAGGAACTGTATTTGGCAAGACGTCCAATGCTTTTAATGGATTTATTTTTGATGCATGCTTTTCGAGTAACTGTAACGCCATTTCCAAATCAGGCTGCATTGTTCGTTGAAGTTCTGGCTTACATCCTATCGGATCATAATTAAGCATATGATATTTTTATTATTATAATTATTTTTATTATATTATTATATTATATTATTATTATTATATTATTTATTATTATAATAATAATAATTATTATTTTTACCTGTCATCAAAACACCTTTGTCGTCAGGTTTTAACAACTGTTGTATAAGCATCAAATAAACCTCATCCGCGCCATCAGATTGTTTCTGTTTCTCTATATTGTCTTGATCTTGAAGCAACAAGGGAAGAGTTATAGAAAATTGCGAACGAGTATTCATGATACACAATCTTATACTTACTTTGATATTTAGTGTATACATTATGACAATACTCGATGGCTTTCTGTATATCATTCAAAAGATTAACATATATTGATATAACTTGTTGGTGACGTCCGAGTCGTCCAAGAATGATTGCACGTTCCTCGAATAAATTATTAAAAGGAAAATGCACTAATATCGTTTCCGGGGTGTAATGCGCTGATTTCTCTAAAAACTGCTGTAATTTTTGTCTAATATGCTGTCCTGCTTCCTTCTCACCTGGTGTTTCGCTATCTTCCGCAGCTGTTAAACATTTTTCTTTATATTGATGTATTAAAACATTATGGTATAGTGGATTGGTATCCTCCCAAATATTCACTACATGTTCTAAATATGTTATAACCAACTCATTGTGACAACGGAGGAGATAATCTAATACTTTCGGTCTTGGTAATTGTTCAACTTGCTGGAATTAATAAATATTATTATTTGTACAAAATGATAGTAGTTCTGCACCCGTTTCAAATATATTACCTGTATATCTTCCATAAATATTCGAAGTCCTTGCTCTGGGTTTTCAATTAAAACCCAACCAGCAAATTTTAAAATCAGGTCCATATGATCTTTGCCTAAGTGCTGTAAGTATTGAATTGTTCTTTCAGTTCCTTTAAGACTGGAATCATTTTCTTTCGAATGTTTTTCAAGAAGTTCTAGTGCTTTTCTATGTTGTCCTTTCGTTTGGTACAATATAATAAGCTCAGGATACTTTTGGTGCATTAGCAATGTTCTTTCAGCCTCTGCCAAATGACAATGATTTAATCTAAGCAGTGGTGCCACTAACGCATCAGTAGTCTGTAAATAACATTTCAGGAGAGTTGTGTCTATAATTTTTAAAAGCTGTTCAGTAGCTACTGCGGTCATATTTTTTTCTCCTTTAATCAAAGATTTCTCTTTGCTGTTATCCTTATCTTTTGATTCTGTATCATCCATTAATTTATCTCTAACTTTTGTAAGGAATACTATCAATGCCCGCAATCCTTTTTCTAAATCATGATCTTCTAGTTTAGGCAAACTTGGAGTTGGCTCGTTGAGTTCAGAATTATTGCTAGTAGAAATAACTAAGTCAGGGAATAATATGATTACTTCGTATGGATCAGTTCCCAACTTTAAAAACAAGTCCATTGCTTCTTGAAATCTTTTGTTAGCAAAGAGATGATGTGCATATAAAGTTTGTATTTTGTATGTTTGTTTAATTTTTTCTTCTTCGGTTATGTCTGATAAACTCTGAAATAGCAATTAATTTTTCTATTATAAACGATTAACAAGCTTGACATCAAGTAATTTAAAATACCGTTTACATACAGTCAATTTCAGTGCCAGCTGAAATTGCTTCTGTTCAAGTAGTGTTCTAATTTGAAGTGTTACATCAATTGCTCTAACACACCAAATATGACTAATAGATGCTACAAAAACCTTCCCTTGTTTACATCTATATATAAGTCTTGCTTTATTCAAGTCCTTTATCGTTTGAATGTGTACGCAGTCCTCTATAGTATATACTTCTAACTTGTCATGCACAATCCCAAGTAGATAAGGGTCATCCCAAGCTAAAATAATTTAAGTTATGTAACACTAAAATGTGTAATATTTTTCAATTAATAGATCATCATAGTCACGTGACTTTATATACCTATCGCACTTGGTGTATCCGACCACTTAACTGAATTATGTTGAATCAAATCACCCTTTGTATTCATAATAAATGACTGAGAATCTTTTCCTAATAGAAACGAATTATCAGATAATTTTGTAACACTCGGTTCAGGCGACTTCCCAGTTGGAAATAACTCTTTAGGTTTTCCATTTAAGTCTAATATAGTATATGACAAACCACGAAAACCCAAAATTAGCGAATCTCCACACCTGTATTATGATCATCGGATATTTTACTACATTGCAATTATTAATGACATTTTATTATGGCATGAAGGTAATAAAAGTAGTACGTACCAAGACAATTCACGTGGTATATCAGGCACAGTTAATTCAAAATCTTTGAATTCCTCAAATTTCTTTACTTTCCAATAATACAACTGCAACTTGCGTTTCACAGCAACGCATAAACGTACGAATGTATTTTTTTCACCAGTTAAACTTTGAGTAGTTTGAACATCTAAGGTGAATAATGTAGCACCACGAGTTTTTTGTAACTGGCAAACTTGTTGAAAATTTGGAGAATTTAAATCGTGTATGCAAAGAATATTATCTACAAACAGAAACAATATAGAGTTACTGCTGTTTTGATGTTTTTGGACGGCTGTTTGAATGCCTCGTCCTTTTGGAATTATTTTCCCCGATACTTCACAAGCATTTCAACTAGCTCCGTCACAGAGTCTAATGATGCGGTATATTATACTGGAACCTGCTCGTCTTTAAATTCATTGTTTACCGATTGAAAGATATTTTCATTAAATCAGTTGACGAGTTTAAAAATTCAGGGGACAGAACTTCAGATTGGATTTAGATGGTGCCCTATATCCCTGTTAATGTTATCAGAGTATTTCATTATGCTCGCAAAACATTGGGAAAATAATTCGAAAAATACAAGGCTTACATCTGATTCTTCAAATCTCAAAAACAATATAACACTTTGTTAAATATTTATAATATAAAAAATAAATATATAATTACCTGTTAAGATTAACAACAAATTATATTCTGGCACAACATCAATTTGTGTAATACGCTTTTTATTAAAATTCTTACTATGGCGCAATAATTCTAATTTATGACTGTCATCTGTCACAGAGGGAACATTGTACATAAGAAGATGACCTTCTCTTGTACCAATTAATAAATTGTCATCTGAAACGTATCAGTATTTCTTACTTCGTTCCAATATTAAATCATTGGTTTCAAATTAATAATGTAAATTATGAGTTTCTCACATTTTTATGCGAATACAATCGTACAAATAATCGCACTTATAATTCATATTACTGTACAAATTATATCATATAAATAAATGAAAAACTTTTATTACGAAGGTTAAAGTTTACCTACCATATGCAGCCATGGACTCGATTTGAACAGAAATATTTAATATTGATGATTGTTCGTAGGCGTCGTGCATTTTGACGTTCCAAAAATGTCTTGTTAAATTTTGAAAATGGTAAATTAACTCTTCCAAGATCAACTACTACTTGCAGACCATAAGTTGTTTGTAGTTATCTTGACAGTTAATATCTTAAACTGTATTCGAAGGTACTACTACACTACAAACTATAGTATGTATAATAGCGACAGTAGTATGGTGTTGAGTACGTAGTGATGAGCAGTGGACTGTGTGTACCCATTTGCCTGCAACATAAAGGCGTTCCTCGCAGCAGCACTTTCTTCTGCTCCTGACTACTACATATGTAGTCACAAACAAACTGGAATAGAATAATAGAGTGGATTGTCGAGTTCCACAACTGTGATGCGCCAGCGCCGAGAAAACGCGTAGCGACGCGAAGAGCGTCAGCTTTTTGATACACGGCGCATTCTCACCACTTCGGTAGTCGCCTTTCGGTTGGAATGGGAGGTTTGTGGAGGACTTCGGGTTGCGTGCGGACGCGAGAAACGCGCCTGTGTTGCAGGTATAAATGGTCACATTGAATCAGAATGGTCATATTGCAACGGAAACCGGCGCAGGTGATTTGGGGTGGGAGTAGTAGAGGGAATAGCACTGACGTCTCACGCGCGCGCGCGCGCGTAAAGTCCATGTTACATGCTACACTCCTGCACACTTCTGTTATTCCCTAAGTTGGCGCGCACATCCTCACCATTTTACTGCGTATCCAATCCGCAGTGATTGCACAGGCCAGTGTGTCCATTGGTGTCCAGTGTGTCTAATGGTGTCAGGAATTCTGCTTGGAATCTGCTCCAAATGGCGGAGAGGAGACCTAGCAAATGTGGCTGGACGATTCTTTATTAAAATTCTTACTATGGCGCAATATTGTTTATTTATTTAGGTTAAATAAAGTTAATATATATGTTAATTAAAGCTAATTTATTAAGCTATTTAAGTTATTTATGCTAATTATTTTTATTGTAGAAAATGGAATAAAAACGTACTTACACCTTTTCTATGCAGAATTAAATTTTCTATTGAAACTTGAAACATTTTTTTAAATTTTCACAAATAACGAATACAATACATATGTATACAGTTTCAAATGTTCCAAAAATGTCCCGCAATCCGAAAGTGGCGGGTTCCTCAGGTCATTTGAAGCAACCTTTTTCTTTACAAAAATGTTCTCCGAGGCACCGTTAACGAGTTATTAACGAAAAACAGTGACCAATGAGAGGCGAGCTCGGCTGGCGCGAGGCGACCGAGCCAATAAGCGGAACTAGGCTTTGTGCACTGGTTGGCTGGGCCGCCTCGCGTCAGCCGTACTCGATTCTTATTGGTCACTGTTTTTCGTTAATAACTCGTTAACGGTGCGTCGGAGAACATTTTTGTAAAGAAAAAGGTTGCTTCAAATGACCTGAGGAACCCGCCACTTTCGGATTGCGGGACATTTGATCCGAGGAACTCGCCATTTCGGGATTACGAGACATTTTTAGGACACCCTGTATACAGGGCTTCCCAAAATAATGTTACTTCCGGGAAATAAGAGGCTCCCGAGGTAATCTGAAGTAATTTTTTCCTTAACGCAATACAACCCGTGGCTTATATTACGTGTTATTAACGAAAAACATCGACCAATGAGAGGGAAACACGGCTGGAGAGTGGCTGAAATCATTAATCATTAATATTTCAATACATCTCTGTGTTTTTGAAATCGTAAATGTAGCGGGAAGGCCTATCCATCTAACCAGACCTAACCCAGGCACTAACACCGATCTTCGGGCCACCTATCGACAGATTTCATCCAATCAGAGTTCATTATACATCAAGAAATTGTTGCTATATTGGAAATGTTGATAGGCATATGATAAACTTAATCAAGAATTTCTCAGTTACCATAAATTTTTACATGCATACGTGCATAACACATGCACTTTCGTAGTCCGTCACTTTGTTAAGAATGTATCATCAATGCATATCATTGTTAATGGATTTGATATTTGACGTCAATATGCAACTATCATCATCATCAGCATCACTAGGTGAGAGCGACACCAACGTAGAAATTCAATAAAAACAATCGACGATGTTAATTCTTTATCATACGCGCATTGGTATTGCAGTGCCATCCTGTGATAAAAATAAGAAACACTTTGGTTGGTTCTGGAACCTGAAAATCACAGGAGTTTCGCATCTTCACAAATAATTTAATATGTATATGTCAATGGAATACAGTTCTTGTAGCACACAGTAAATTGTAACGTACGATCCGATCAATATACAAAATTTACGTGTCATACGAATTTAATATACAATAGAAAATGGCACGTTCGGTTGCTGATGAAGATCGTGAACTCATTGCTTTCGTCAAGTCCCGGATTCCGGGTTCGCATTTTATATACACATATTATTCAGTTTTGTTCCAAAGTAACACTTATTGATTTTACAGGAATGTTTTATGTAAATACTGAATACGAAGAAATGATGGAAAGAAAAGTACGCGAAATCCACAATGAATTAAGAAGAAATAAACTCGGTGTGAATATAAATCTCTAAGCAAAATAGATCATACTTTAGAATACACATATAATGAATTAAAAGAATTTATGAATGTTTTTAGATACTGCAGCAATCTTTGATAAAAATAATAAGGACTCAATTTATAATCTTGGAAAATGGGGTTTTATGTCAAGCCCTCATTATAAGAATAAAATGAGAGACGAAGAATTCATGCAGAATGCTTATAATATGAACAAGACTGCAAGAGTGAAGGTATCAAGTAGTTAATAAATTTTTGGTTAATTTCCACATGAGATTATATTACCTAATAAATTGCTTGCAGATGTATAAAGAACTAATAAAGAGCTGTATTCCAAAGGAAGGAACTAAATCTTCCATACTCACTGAAGAAGATATTAAGAAGTTTGAACAAGCGTATAAGGATTATCCAAATATATAAAATGAATCTCGTATTTCGTAAATCAGAGAAATTGCAAATTTTAATTTTGCATACAAATTAAGTTAAAGTATCTACATATAAGACCTATCATATTCTTCTGAAAGAGAACAAAAAGGAATAGCTAATTGCATATGTAACCATTTTCAATATACTTTCAATTAATAACTTGACATGTCCAATAGTGACAGAAAAAAAGATAAAGTGATAATGCTCTAGTTACCATGGCCTGGAGATGTATAGAAATAGGACACATTACTGTCTTTGCGTTTGTATACATACAATATCGAATTTGCGTTGTATCAACTACTTCATAGATGTTTACCTGTAATATGTTTTTTTATTAAAATTCTTACCATGGCGCAATATTGTTTACTTATTTAGATTAAATAAAGAACTTAATCAAGAATTTCTCAGTTATGATAAATTTCTGCATGCATACGTGCATAATAAATGCACTTTCGTAGTCCGTTACTTTGTTAAGAATGTATCATCAATGCATATCATTGTTAATGGATTTGATATTTGACGTCAATATGCAACTATCATCATCATCAGCATCACTAGGTGAGAGCGACACCAACGTAGAAATTCAATAAAAACAATCGACGATGTTAATTCTTTATCATACGCGCATTGGTATTGCAGTGCCATCCTGTGATAAAAATAAGAAACACTTTGGTTGGTTCTGGAACCTGAAAATCACAGGAGTTTCGCATCTTCACAAATAATTTAATATGTATATGTCAATGGAATACAGTTCTTGTAGCACACAGTAAATTGTAACGTACGATCCGATCAATATACAAAATTTACGTGTCATACGAATTTAATATACAATAGAAAATGGCACGTTCGGTTGCTGATGAAGATCGTGAACTCATTGCTTTCGTCAAGTCCCGGATTCCGGGTTCGCATTTTATATACACATATTATTCAGTTTTGTTCCAAAGTAACACTTATTGATTTTACAGGAATGTTTTATGTAAATACTGAATACGAAGAAATGATGGAAAGAAAAGTACGCGAAATCCACAATGAATTAAGAAGAAATAAACTCGGTGTGAATATAAATCTCTAAGCAAAATAGATCATACTTTAGAATACACATATAATGAATTAAAAGAAATTATGAATGTTTTTAGATACTGCAGCAATCTTTGATAAAAATAATAAGGACTCAATTTATAATCTTGGAAAATGGGGTTTTATGTCAAGCCCTTATTATAGGGATAAAATGAGAGACGAAGAATTCATGCAGAATACTTATAATATGAACAAGACTGCAAGAGTGAAGGTATCAAGTAGTTAAAAAATTTTTGGTTAATTTCCACATGAGATTATATTACCTAATAAATTGCTTGCAGATGTATAAAGAACTAATAAAGAGCTGTATTCCAAAGGAAGGAACTAAATCTTCCATACTCACTGAAGAAGATATTAAGAAGTTTGAACAAGCGTATAAGGATTATCCAAATATATAAAATGAATCTCGTATTTCGTAAATCAGAGAAATTGCAAATTTTAATTTTGCATACAAATTAAGTTAAAGTATCTACATATAAGACCTATCATATTCTTCTGAAAGAGAACAAAAAGGAATAGCTAATTGCATATGTAACCATTTTCAATATACTTTCAATTAATAACTTGACATGTCCAATAGTGACAGAAAAAAAGATAAAGTGATAATGCTCTAGTTACCATGGCCTGGAGATGTATAGAAATAGGACACATTACTGTCTTTGCGTTTGTATACATACAATATCGAATTTGCGTTGTATCAACTACTTCATAGATGTTTACCTGTAATATGTTTTTTTATTAAAATTCTTACCATGGCGCAATATTGTTTACTTATTTAGATTAAATAAAGAACTTAATCAAGAATTTTTCAGTTACGATAAATTTCTACATGCATACGTCCGTCACTTTGTTAGGAATGTACCATTAATGCATATCATTGTTAATGGTTTTTGATATTTGACGTCAATATGCAACTATCATCACCATCATCAGCATCACTAGGTGAGAGCGACACCAACGGAGAAATTCAATAAAAATAATCGACGATGTTAATTCTTTATCATACGCGCATTGGTATTGCAGTGCCATCCTGTGATAAAATTAAGAAACACTGGTTAGTTTCGGAACCTGAAAATCACAAGAGTTTCGCATCTTCACAAATAATTTAATATGTATGTATCAATGGAATACAGTTTTTGTAGCATACTGTGAATTGTAACGTACGGTCCGATCAATATACAAAATTTACGTGTCATACGAATTTAATATACAATAGAAAATGGCACGTTCGATTGCTGATAAAGATCTTGAACTCCGTAATTATGTGAACACTCGGAGTCAGGGTTCGCATTTGATATGCATGTCATTCAGTTTTGTTCAAAAGTAACATTTATTGATTTTACAAAAAAGAGAAACAGAAATACTGAATACGAAGATTCTTTGTATTCAATGGTATTAGAAACCAAGGAATTATTGAGAAGAAATAAAATTGGTATGAATATAAATCTGTAAAATATAATAGAGCAGAATATATAGTATAATATAATATAAGAAATTTAGAGAAATTATTAATGTTTCTAGATACTACAAGAATCTTTGATAAATCAAATAAAGACTCAATTTATGAATTTAGAAAATGTAGATATATATCATACAATAAATGTGAAACAATCATTAATGCTGAGTTAATATCGTAGTAACAAAAATATAACAGGAAAGGTAT